AGACTCACCAAGCCATTTATCTCTCTGCCCTTCAGTTAATCCCACTTGTGTTTATCGGCCATGCTGGCACAGTAAACTATCTCAACTGCCTAGGTCTTACATATCCATCAAAATCAAGTTGTTGGCTGATTTTGAGGCACTTACAGCTTTCTTCAGCAGAGAAAGATGAGGTTTTGTGTTCAGCCTGGGACGTCCACTGCCGCGGTACTAGTCTGTTCTACAGGGTTGCTATGAGTCGGTTGACTCGATGCAGTGAGGGTTTTGGGTTTTTTGTTTAATGTAGCTTTTGCTTTGTTTTTCCCTGCACAGTGTCTGCCCAGCATGGGGCAGAGAATCAGCTCTGAACAAAGGACTTTTCTCATACTCACTTACGTTATCAAAATTCCTGCTTCACATTTTGCTTTATAAAATACTGTAACTCTTTCTAATCATATTTGTTACTGTTTAAAATTCATTTTACTCCTGTATTTCCTTTTGGCTTCTAAAATGAACTTATTTTACTCCCTTATTTTTGCGGGGACTTCTAATTTGAACTCAGTAGTTAAACTTAAATTGTTAATTTCGATAAATCTTCATACCTTTGTTTTGTAGTTAGCTCTATAGGCATAATTATCACTTTTTAATTCAGAGACTCATGGAATTCATAGCTAGAAGTGCCAAAGAGAGTTCACGCCCCGCCCACCCCAAGTGTGTGTTTCCATGGTAGGCTCCCTGCCAGGCACGCCTCTCCGTCTCTGAGTGAAAGGGTATGTGTGACTGCCAGGAACATCGTGGTCTACTGTGGGTTAATGCTCTTTATTTTGTGATTTAGGTCAGGGTTCACATTTCATATCAGATCACCTTTTTTTTTTTTTTACTCAGCCAATTCAACAACTCATCAGACTTCCCAACCGTTTTAGCTTGCCCTGCCACACTCCCTCCCCTCCCTTGTGGGAGAGCTCTTGAGATCCTTTTGCCTTTAAATGTTCGGCTTTGGGGTCCTAAGTCTTCCTTCCATTGTCATTACACAGAAGCTGTCCAGTGTTGTGTGTGTCCTGGCCCCTCAGGCACTCCATAGAAGTCTCATGACACTTGATTCAGGCATTCTTTTGAAGGACTTGTTTCTTTTTGCTGCTTGTACAACTTCGCCACCATCTCTCACCCTGGCTTATGTGTCACTGATGATCCCTCTGATTGGTGAAAAAGAGATGCATGGCTGCAGCTGCATATCCCACAAACACTTGTCCCACTTTTTGCCTCCATGAGAGTTGATAGCCGATGAAAGTGTGTAGTGAATCTGCTCGTCTATGGGAACGGCAGAGCCCTTAAGACCTCTTGGTGCCGCAGTGTGCGTCCGTTTGTTCATGAACATTGCTGACTGAAGAGGGAGCCTTGGTGGTGGAAGTGTAACTACAGAATCACAGCATACGAGTTCTGTTTTCCCCTAGGTGTGAGCACCAGAAGTGAGATTAGAAGTTAGTAGGTACATAAGGAAATCTGCCCACCTAAGTGGGATACATGTCACCGTATTTATAAGAGCAATGACATGATGCTAGCTTTCCCGGAGAGAATGGGGCTGGCTAATGAAGTGCAGCAGAAGTGGATCATTAATGACTCTGAGCACTGACTCTCTGGGAAGTACGTTATGTTTTATTTTTGAAGATATTTGGGAATCTGGTAAAGCTGGGGTGTGATTTGCATTAAAGAGGGAGGTAGTGGTTTGTGTGAGGAATCCTGGTAGGAAAGTGTTCTCTCATGCTCTGCAGCAGCGGAAGATTGGGTCCATCACTGGGAGGTGACCTGGAAGTTGCTGGAGGTCAGAATGGCCCAGTGGGAGAATTCCTTCAGAATGTTCCTGGAGGGAGTCTGGTAGCAGCAGCAGCTAATAAATCCTGATCCTGCTGCAGTTGACTCACTCAGGAAAATTGCTGTTAGCCCCCACAAACTGTTAGAGCTACAGACTTCTTACCATCCAGCTTTCTGTTGCTTCCCAGTATGACCCTCAATTCGGCGATGCCTTCTGGAACAGCAGCAAGTATGGGATGGTGACGTACCTGCTGAGAATGATGACCAGCTGGGCCATTGTCTGTAGTGTTTGGTACCTGCCACCAATGACCAGGGAGGTAAGTCTCCCGAACAGGGCAGAGGTCTTCACTGCGCCTGTGAGCCTGGGTTGAGTGGTCTCATTTTTTTTTTTTTTTCCAGGCAGATGAAGATGCTGTCCACTTTGCTAACAGGGTGAAATCTGCCATTGCCAGGCAAGGAGGACTCGTGGACCTGCTGTGGTGAGTGTAGAGCCAGACATGGTGGTTAATATAGGAGAACTTCTCTTCTGACCGAGATGCTGATTTAATGACTCCCGTTTATAAAGAATCTTCCTCTCCCTCTTAAGGAAAATTCAACTCACCAGGTTCAGATGTGAGCACTTTGACACATCTCTCCTGCTTTCAACCTAGAAGGCCCTGGTGATGTAGTGGGTGTGTGTTAGGTTGTTGACCACGAGGTCAGTAGTTCAGAACCACCAGTCACTCTGCAGGCTTTCTGCACCTGTAAAAATGTAGTTTCAGAAACCTACAGGAGCAGTTCTAGTTCTACACTGTCCTAAAGGGTGTGAGTTGCCATCAACACAGTGAGAGTGAATTGGGTTTGTTTTTTGGTTTGTGCTGCTTTGACTAACTTTGGGGAAGGTGGGCTTGGAGAGAAGCAGTCTGGTCTGTGTACCTTTGGGAGGCTTGTACTAATCTGCTATTAGGTGTCCTCAAGTCAGTCTCTACTCACAGTGACGCTGTGTACAACAGAACACTACCTGGCCTGTGCCGTTCTCACAGTTGTTCTTGGTGAACCGTTCGCAGCCGTCTCGTTGGTCTATCTTGTCGAGGGACTTACTCTTTATCACTGGTGCTAGGAAGCATGATGTCCTCCACCGGGGACTGTTCCCTCTTAAGAACGTGTCCGCAGTGAGTGAGACATCTGTGAAGCATTCTGACTCTTAATTCTCCCAAGACACAGGTGTTGGTTCGTTGGCGGTCCATGGTGTGCGTACTGTTCTTCCACCACCATAATCTGAATGTATCAGTTCTTCTTTGATCTGCCTTGCTCATTGTTTCTAGTGCATATGAGGCAGTTGAAAATATCCCGGCTTGGGTGGGTCAGGCACAACATACTCTTCAATGTGACCTCTTTGCTTTTGAACACTTTACCAAGAGACCTTTTGCAGCAGATTTCCCCAGTGCAGTATGTTGTGTGATTTGTTGACTGTTAGTTTCATGGGTTGATTGTGCATCCAAATTAAGGGAAACCCTTGACAATTTCAGTCTTTTTTTTTTTTTCTGATTATCAGAATGTTGCTTATAGTCCAGTTAAGAGGATTTTTTGTTTTCTCTATGTTAAAAATAATAATTTATACTAAAAGCTGTAGTGTGTATTAATTTTATCTTTACCAGTTAAGTGCTTCATGTCCTCTTCAGTTTTAGCAAGCAAGCAAGGTATGTCATCTGCAAGTCACAGATTGTTAACGAGCCTTCCTCCAATCTCGATGCTGAATTCTTCTTCATATAGCTCACCTTGGATTACTTGCCTTAACATACAGATTGAGCAAGTATGGTGAAACATTATAACTACGACATACACCTATCTGGATTGTACCCCTGCTCGGTACCCCCTATTCTCTGTGAATATCTCTGAAATCATTGGAAAGGCTTCAGAGCCATTTCCTGCACTAATGTAAATCTAAATGAGGACCATATGCACCCAGGCAGACCTGCAACTTCTTAAAAGCATGGGAATGGGTCTTGTTTGTAACCCGGGAACGGCCTGTATCTCAGAGAGTGCTAAGTGGCTTTCTGATGTTGTTAGGCGCCCTGGTGTCTGCTCTGACTCAGGGATCCTGTGAAACACGGCCCAGTCTTGTGCCATCTTCCTTGTTGTTGTGTTTGAACCCATTGTGCCAGTCTGTCGTGTCCATACTTCACCAAGTATGATGTTCTTTTTCCAGACAGTGGTCTCTTCCGATAGCATATCCAAGCACGTGAGACTAAGTGCTGCCACCCTCGCTTCCAAGGAGCTGCACTTCTTGCAAGACTGATTAGTTTGTTTTCTGTCAGTCCATGATACTTCAGTGGTCTTCATCAACGCCATCATTCAAAGGCATCGATCCTTCTTCAGCTTTTATGTGCATAGCAGGCCATTGAAAACACCATGACTTGGGTCAGGTGCACCTTAGTCCTTAAAGTGACATCTTTGGTCTTCAACACTTGAAAGAGGTCTTGAGCAGCACGTGTGCTGGTTGCTACTTCTGTGAACGCTGCTTGTGGGTCCAAGTGAAACAAACTCCTGACCCTTCAGTCCTTTTCCCATTTATCCTGATGTTGTCTATTAGTCCAGTTGTGAGGATTTTTAAAGCCTTATTATCTGCCAGTGCCTTCAGCACAGGTTGAGCATCTTCCTTCAGCACTGTCCATTTTTGGGTCATATGCCACCCCCTGAGGTGGTTGAGTGTCTACCAGCTGTCTGGGCCTAGTAACTGTGTATTCCTTTCCTCCTCTTTTGAAGCTTCCCGTGTCCTCCCATGTTTTGCCAATACCATAACCAAACCACTAGCGTGCAGCTAACACTTTTGTTTGTTTGTTACTTTTCAAAACATTTAAGAAAAGATACAAAGCAAAGCATGTACTGCTTCAATTGATTTCTACATGTACAGTAAGATTGTCTTCATTTAAAAAAAATCATTTTATTGGGGGGTTTGTATCGATTGTGTCAGCACATTTGTACATTTGTTGCCATCATCATTCTCAAAACATCTTTCTGCTTGAGCCCTTGGTATGAGCTCCTCATTTCCCCCCACCCTCCGTCCCCCTTGATAATTTATGAATTATTATTATTTTTTCATGTCTTATACTGTCCGATGTCTCCCTTCACCCACTTTTCTGTTGTCTGTCCCCCGGGAAGGGGGTTATATGTAGATCATTGTGATCGATTCCCCCTTTCCCCCACCTTCCCCTTCCCCTCCTGGTATGGCTACTCTCATTATTGGCCCTGAGGGATTTATCTGTCCGGGATTTCATGTGTTTCCAGCTCTTATCTGTACCAGTGTACATGCTCTAGTCTAGCCAGATTTGTAAGGTAGAATTGGGATCATGATAGTGGGGGAGAGGAAGCATTAAAGAACTAGAGAAAAGGTTTATGTTTCATCAGTCCTATACTGCACTCTGACTGGCTTGTCTCCTTCCCGAGACCCTTCTGTAAGGGGATGTCCAGTTACTTACAGATGGGCTTTGGTTCTCCACTCCGCATTCCTCTTCATTCACAATGATATGATTTTTTTGTTCTTTGATGCCTGATACTTGATCTTATCGATACCTCGTGATCACACAGGCTAATGGGCTTTGTTGCTTCTCAGCTAGATGGCCGCTTGTTTGCCTTCAAGCCTTTGGGTAAGACCCCAGATGCTATATAGCTGGGCACCATCAGCTTTCTTCACCACATTTGCTTATGCACCCGCTTTTGTCTTTAGCCTTCATGTTGGGAAGGTGAGCATCGTGGAATGCCAGTTTAATAGAACAAAGTGTTCTTGCATTGAGGGAGTACTTGAGTAGAGGACCAATGTCCATCACGTGCAGCTAACTCTTAACCCTATGTGCCACCAGGACTCTGTTTTCCCCATGGAGTTTCTTGTTCAGTTCTTCCAGCCAGAGAAATGCTTATTGTACTCTCCCCTTTTGGCTTTTTAACTCTTAAGTCCTTGCACATTTTATTATAACACTTATCGCACTGCCTGTTGATAAATACTGTTCAGCTCTTTATCATTTCTTCCATTCACTTTGGCTTCTCTACATTTACAAGCAAGTTTTTGAGTCTCTTCTGACTTCCATTTAGGTCTTTTCTTTCCTTTGACCTTTCTTTTGCGGTCCAGTATGATATCCTTGATGTTATCCCACATCTCATTCAGTCTTTGATCATTAGGGTTCAAATATGTTGAGACGGTCTCTAGATTCAGGGGGGACATACTCCAGGTGGTACTTGGGCTCTTGAGGACTTGTTTCCATTGTCTTCAGCCTTAACTTCAATGTCCATGTCCATGGTTCATCTCTGGCCTTGTTTTGACTCATCATGAGCTTCTCTATCACCTCTTTGAACAAATGCAGTCCATTTTACTTGCATATATTCATCTTGCAAGGTCCACATGTATAATTGTGGTTTATGTTGTTGAAAAAAAGTATTTCCAATGAATAAGTTGCTGGTCTTGCGACACTTATCAAGAGATCTCTGCCACTGTTTTATCTCCAATGACATAGTTTCCTACTACTGACCCTTTCCCTTTGTTTCAATTTTTCCATTTCAGTCAACAATTAATAGTGTAATTATTAATGCATCTTGATTGCATGTTTTATCAATTTCAGGGTATGGAAGATGGTGCAAATCTACCAATTTCTTCATCTTTGGCCTTTGTAAATTCAAATAGGAGTTGTATTTATTAGCTGGTCATCCCTGTGGGGCGTATAGCTCTCATATCATGGAGCATGTCGTACTATAGAAAGTGTGCCTTTTAGCAAGGAATGTAAGGTCATTTCTCTTCCGTCTGTCATTCCTGGAATAGTGCACCTTAGGATTGTGCAATTCAGAATGCCCAAGAAACTTCATTTCAGCTCACTAGTGCCTAGGATATAAATCTTCAAACATCTTGGTTCATTTTTGACACTGCTCAGTTTTCTTAGGCTCGTGATTTGTACATTGCACATTCCAGTTACCTAGAAATCTTTGCAGGTGTTTTCTTCTCACTTGGGGTTGTACCAGCCACGCCAGCAAATGCAGGTCCCCAGAGCTTTACACCATCCACATAATGAAGGCTGACTACATTGGGAGAAACCCTGGTGCACTGGTGAAAGCTCTCAGCAGAGAAGCAGGTCAGCGGTTTGAACCCGCCAGCTTTCCCATGGGAGAAAGATGTCATCGTCTGCCTCCATAGAAATTAGAAGTCTTGAAAAACTACTGGGCAGTTCTCTGTCCAATAAGGTTGTGTGAGTTGGAATGGACTCAGTGTCAGTGGGTGGGCTACTTAGAGGAGACAACTCTTTCGCTGTTGTATTTGGTCCTTATTTCTAGTCTGTCCTAGTCTGGAAACTCCACCGAAAACCTTGGGGTATTTGGAACACCGGCTTCCAGCAGCACACAAGCCACCGCAGTGTGACAGACTGACAGTTTACACAGAAGCACTCACTTCTGTGTACCTTGTTAGGTGTTGTACCAGTCTAACAGTGGGGCACAAACGCAAACAAGCCTCATCTCTCCAGGTAGAGCTGGCCAGATGCTGACGTGGAGCCCTTGCTCAGTGTCCTTGGTGAAGCTGGCCATCCTTTGGAAGGCACGCGTTCAATGATTGTAGCTTGCTTGGTGCCCACTAGGGCAGGGATTGGCGGGCTTTTCTGTAAAGAACAAGATAGCATATGCTTCGGTTTTGTTGTCGCTATTGCAATTCCATAACTTTGGGTAGCATGATGCAGCCATGGACAGTGTATACCTGAATGAACACAGTTGCATTCAATAAAACCTTATTTATAGAAACAGGTAACTGGCTGGATTTGACCCATATTAGAGAATGAAATAGTTACACAAGGGGTGGGGTGAGGTTGGTGTACTTCAGTAAATTCATGGGACAATGGAGGAAGAGATATAGCATTATTCCAATAATTTTTTGAAACCTCCTTGTATTCCAATAAGGGACGAGTGCCAGTTCAAGGGCACCGTCATAGCCTTGGTGGCAGGTTCCCTCGCTAACCAGGAGGTTGGCAGTTGAAGCTCATCCAGTGATCTTCTGCCAGAAAATGACAGCCTACGTAGCAGTGTGTAAGATCTCTGTCACGGGGTTGCCATGCACTGGGATCACCCGCTGGCATCTGACAACATGGCTAGGGGGCAAGGGTCACTCTGGAGGACATTTAACTTAAGTGACCATTACAGAACCTAGGTCACTGCAGTCCAGTCCATGCCGACCCATAGGGACCCTGTGGGAGAGGGTAGCACTGCCCCTGTGAGTTTCCCATACTGAACTCTTTATAGGAGTAGAAAGCCCCATCTTTCTCCCACTGGTTTCAAACTGCTGGCCTCGGAGCATGCAGCCCAACTCGTAACCACTACCCCACCTGGTCACTCCTCAGGGACCATTAGGGGAAAGAAAGTAAAGCGTTCAGAATTCCCAACAGAGCAGTGGGTTCTCAGATCATGACCTTTTCACCATGCTACCGTCTTTCAAGCTGGTGTGCTAGCTAACAATCCTGTTGTATCCTCACAGTAGTCTCCTGAAGACTAGGAATTGTTACTGCCCTTTTACAGATGGGGCATGAAAACACTCAGTGAGGTTACATACCTTGTACGGTTCTCATCAGTCACCTTGAATGACTACGAAGGAGCCCTGCAGATTGATCATTAGAGGTGATGATAGTTCTAGAGTTCAGGCAGAGTTGGAGAGCAAAGCCCATGGGAGTGGACTGTGAAGAAACAAATGATCTACAGGCTTGTTTGGGGCTGTTGGAGAGAGATGCTCAGACTCCGAGAGACAGTGGAGGAGTTTGAGGGTTGGTTCCATTAGGGTAGTTGAGTAGGTGTCTCTGCGAGGTGCACATGGTTAGGTGCTCAAAGACTCGCTGAAACGCTGGCAGTTTGAACCCACCGAGGTGCCTTAGACGCGAGCCTGGCCCTCTGCTTCTGCAAGGTGACTGCCTGGAACTCTGGAGCGCAGCTGTGCTGTGAGAGGCCACTGCCAAGGCCCCTTGGCTTGGAAGAAGGGAGAGCTGAGCTTGCCTCATGCTCTCGTTTGCATGCGTCATGTGTGCCGGGGTGGGACTTTACTCGTTGCTCATTGACGCTCAGTGTGTCTCAGATTTTGTAAACCACTCAATAACACCAGAATACCTTTCTCCTTTGTAGACTGTGATAGTAAACAGAACTTTAAACGGTTTTTAAATGTTAGATTGAGTCAATTCTAACACACCTTGAATATGAGCAGAGAATTTTTTAAAAATCTTAACCTTATTTTAATTCTTAAGAAAACAATTATATTTTTGCTTTTTTTTTTTTTTTGCTTTTGAGATCTTTTCAAATGGTGACTTCTGACCCCAGGGTAAGATAAGAGTTGAGTGTCTGTGGTAGAAGGGTGGCTTCCCTAACAGAGCCCGGCACCAGCTCAGCTCACAGGGCACCCTACGGAGCACCCCTCCCAGTGCCTTTGCCCTGGCAGCTGTGTCTTGGTCCGTGAGGAGCGCTGGGATCCGAGGGCGGGGGAGAAGCTGCTTTGCTCTGACGCCCAGCCTTTCTCTCATCAGGGACGGTGGTCTGAAGAGGGAGAAGGTGAAGGACACGTTCAAAGAGGAGCAGCAGAAGCTGTACAGCAAGATGATCGTTGGGAACCACGAGGACAGGAGCCGCTCCTGATCCTCCCCTTGTCTTGCTGGAGCCGCCGTTCTCAGACCCTGACGTGTGAGCCAGCTTGAGTCGTTGCTGCCACGCTGCTGCCGCCCCTGCTACAACCTTTCCACACTCGGGGCCTCAGGCTGCTCTGGACCCGTGGACTGCAGCGTCTCAGAGTGGCGCCAGAGCCCCAGGGTCTGCAGGGCAGCTAAGGCAGCCAGCCCATGGCTGTCTGGAGTGAATGCTGTTGGTATGGCTACCCGGGAGGAGATGCCTTTTTGTTTCTCTTACAATAAGTCTATTGAAGGAATGCCATTAAAGTTGACTCTCCACTGTGCATGCTGAGCGGGGCTGAGTGTTTATGAGGAATCAGCCACATTCCTGCGGGAACGTCAGTGGGTCACAGGCCCCGGGTCCTGTGCTGGAGAAGAGCCCGCCCACTCGGGAGGAGTGGCAGTTCTGAGGCCCCGTGGCTTGCTCCTGCCTCAGCGTTGCTCCCCAGCCTGGGATCCCCACAGGCAGGCAAGAAAGAAAACTAGTCTGCAGGCGCTTTCAGCAAAAGGAAGTTTGAAATCCTTGTGCTTCCACCCCTAGGAAGCCACCAAAGGCAGGCGCGAAGAGGCCAGCCAGCCGCTGAGCGCTCCATCCGTGTTGCGAGCTGGGAGCCACTGCAGCCAGACTGGTGCTGGCCTCCCTGCTCCACGTGGGTGCACGCGAGCTCGCTTTCCCGTCATCGCGTGACTCCGGCGGGGGGAGTGGTGCCACCTACCTCACAGGCTGTTGTGGGGATCACAGTGGGGACAGACCAGTAACGCTCAGTGTTATGAACACGGGTCCGTGAAGCATGGCAGGACGAGGTCAGCTCAGAGCTGCTGCACAGGCCTTTGGATTTGTTTTTGTGAGTAAATAAAATGTTCTTGGCTGGTGAATGAAATGAGGGTTTTTTCCCCTTCTCTTTGTCTTCCCTAGCTGGAACCCTGTATAACATGTTTTGTTTTCTGTCTTGTCAAAATTGCCCTTATCTTACTTGTGTATAATCCTGAGACTGGCTCTTGGAATGAAGACTGGTCATTCGGAAGATGGACTGTCCATGTCAGGGGGGATATAGCTCTCGCTCGGGTGCACAGGATCTGTTCGGAATTCCCAGTGTAGACTGGGAGAGGATTTCTCCACACATGGGGGCCAGGGTGCTGCGAGCGAGTGAGTAGTGGGCCTGTTTCACTGGATTGGGGGATGAGAATGGAAGGTGGCAGGCTGGCCCAGAGGATAAGGGGCAGGGTAAAAGCAGAGAGGCTCTGGGAGGGGATGAGGGGCGGCATGTGGGCCCACCACCTTACAGTCCGTGCAGGGCGATCCAGAGACAGACAACCCTTGTGGACTCTTGCTTCTGGGGGCCCCCAGTTTCAAATCCCTCAGAAGAGAAAGTGGCCTCCCACCCTCCATTTATCCACCCACCCGCCTACTCATTTGCCTTCCCTCCCGCGCTCCATCTGTGACACAATGATGCCTTCCAGGATCTGCACCTGTCATGTTATAAGGTCACGTCTCCGAGGTTGCCCTCTGGCTTGGGTTTTGGGATATAGTGGGACATGAATCCTCATTCCTTGGGCTATTGAACAAATAACACTTGATCGTACTGAAGAACTACACCCTCTGACCCTTTCACGGTGACCAGAGCAGAACCGCACACGTGTCAAGGCCGTGGGTGCAGATTCCCAAGCCTTTTTTCTGAGGTGCCTCGGGGTGGGTTTGAACTGACAACCTCTTGGGTTAGTAAGGTGCTTAACTGCTGACAACACCCCAAGACTCCATACTCTGGGCGAGTCAGTTCTGACTGAATTACAGGACAGAGTGGGCGGCGCCTCTTCACTGCAGCAGAAGAGCTCATCTTGCCTCTTTCTTCAGCATTGGCTGGTAGTTCTCAGCTGCCTCCCTGAGGTTTGCAGCCTGGCACACACCCCGTTCTGCCACCAGGTCTCCTCCCAAGACTCTCTAGTCCCCCTAACTGCCTGCCTCTCACCTCCCTGAAAGGCCTCCCATGCCTCTGAACTACTAGACCCATTGCTATTCATGAAAAGGTCCATCTTCTCACCTTTTCTCTCAAACCTTATTATGATTATAAGTTTTGTTTTTTTCTGAACTGTTTTACAAAATGTTCAAGAAGGGGTGAGGGGGGGAATCAGCCTTTATTAGAGATGATAAAGCATCCAAATGTTATCTGGTATAATCCTTAAAAATGGGACTTAGGTCAAGCTCTTTTTTTTAGAAAAAGAGACTAATTTAGCTTCTTGCTATTTAGTACTTTTTATTTCATGACTCTCAGTTAATTTCCATAAACATGTACATTGTGCGTATGTTTGTATGTATGACACGTATTTGAAAGGGCTTCAAAAAGTTCATGGGAAAATTGAATTAAATGATAATGCAATTTCCCCATGAACTTTTTGAAGTCCCCTCGTGTGTATTAAGGTTTTCTCATGTACTTTTCGACAAACCTGTATGTTGCTGAAGGTATATTTCACAAGGCTGGCTTAGAATCACCGCTGTGTGAGCGAAAGTTGTTTACTCTTTTACTAACAGTGGAGAGAAAGGCTCTAAACTCCCACGAAAACACAATCTCAGGTTTTTAGTTAATGTTGTGTTAGAATCGTCACACTGCCCATCCTTTTTAAATGGGGATCCCACAGACCCCCCAAGTTCTCCATAAGCAAGAATGTTCGGCTGGCAAAAACGAAATTGGTATTTGGGGTTAAGATCTCATGGCACAGAGGCATAGCAACCAAAAAACATGTCAGACGAAGAGTCCCAGGTAAGGCTATTCTGTGCCTCCAGCAGGATGGGGATGAGCTTGCAAGAAAACCAGGTGCTGTTACTTAGTGCACGCACTGGCCAACCCTCTTGCAAAAGCCGCTCTGCCACTTGCTGGCTGACTTCTCTAGGTCGGTGTCCTGACCCTTACCTCGGGAACGGCCTAGGAGACTTCCATCGCAGAAACCCGATTTTAAACTCATAGTGCACTTGGGCTTCTAAAAACGTCTGGGTCCGAAAACATGAGTTGTCCGTTTTTGTTTTTGTTTTTTTTTAGATTGAAATAAACTCTACAAAATTTATTTTCTTCACCAAAAATACCAGTAATATTTCCTGTAATATTTCTAAATCACAAAGAATTTGATCTTGTAGGTTTTCCCAGGTTGAGTTGTCCGTTTTAAGTTCATTTTTTTCCCCTTCAGAACATTATGAGGTCCATGGGACTGAACTACACTATGGCATGTTCCCCACAAGACCCTTCGAGAATTTTAGATGATTGGAGAGTTGAGTTCACACTTACCTTTGGGCTGAGTGGCGTAGTGGATTTTGGCCAGCACTCTTCTCTAGCCAACATGAACTGCTCCCAGCCTAGTTAGAGCAGGAACTTTCTAGTAAAGCTAGTAAAACTGCCCGGAGGAAGCAGAGGAGAGAGGGCTGTCACCAGGCCAGAGCTCGGCAAGACAGAACCCTTGGAGATGACGCCTTTGTGATAAAGCAGCAGCTTTGGAACTTGAGTGTGCACTGTCTCAGATCCCCACCCCTGCGGCTGCTCTGCAGAGATGATTGGGCTGGGCGTGGGGGGTGCTGGGGAGTGTGTCCATCCTCGGGAGCTATCTGGTTGCATACCTTCCTCGCAGCCCACCACCAGGGGGGACACTGATCCTGCTCTTTAGGAATCTTCGGGATCTCTAAGTTCTGCCATTTCCTTTCTGGCATTGACCACGCACTCAGTTGTCTACGGGGTAGTGCTTCCTGTTGTCCCCAGTGCACGAAAAACCCCACTGTGTGCTCTGCATGCCGGGTGGCCAGGCGCGGTTGCTATGTGGGTGGTGCGTCGGTGCTGGGAGGGCAGCTGCATGCACACTGACTCTTGGACAGGTTAAGAGACGACCATCCAGCCATCTATCTTCCAGTGCACTAACACCCCCTCTCCCCCCAGTCAATATGTCTCTTCTCCGATGGGAAAGTTAATAAATTTTGCTCTAGATTAAAAGTATTGATCATTTCATTTGTAAACGATAAATAAAAAGGGGGGACTTTTCATTGCACCAGGGGTAGCGTCTGGTGGATTTTGCTGGGGAGATTGCGCTAGCTGTTGGGGGTGGTGGGCTTCTCATATGCATTCTGGCTGGCCAGCTGCATTGATTTCCTATTAGTCTCCCAGCACCACCCAGTAACACATCATTTCAGTACCTGCTATTAATGGTCTTTTGATAAATAATCACTTGTAAGTCAATAAATTTTTATTAAACAGTGTGGCTCTTTGATTTATTAAAATCCGACCGTGTTTGTCTGGGAGAAAAAGGATGCTGAATTGAAGTGGAGGTTTTCATATATCTTCCTGACGCGGAGCAGTCACTGCGCGCTCCAGAGGAAAACAATTGCATTTTAACCGAAACAAAACCGCCGAGTTTGGAACTTGGGCCCAGGGAACCTTTATCTCCGTCAGTCTGAGGCTCACTGCAGAGAGCAGCCACAGGCCCGAGGGTGCCAAGGGGAGAACTTTGTGTTGGCTTCAGAAGGTGGTGAGGTGCTGGACAACTGCATTATGGGACAGCACAGACCCTCCACCTGAAGGGTTCCCGGAACGGGTAGCCTGTGCAAACAGACCATCGGGGTTCAAGGAAAAGCAGCTCTGGGGCCTTTTCGCTGCTTGCCTGCCCCAATTTCCACCAAAGCCACATCTTGGGGCAGGAGAAGCCAAGCGATGGTCACCCATACTTTGTTATGTAGAGATGGAACTCAGGGTTATTTTTCAAAGGGAACCAGTCACTGAAGAGGGCAAATCGTGCATGAGAGAGAGAGAGAGTTGCATTGGCATAAAGTTTGCTGCCAGTGTATTGATACCTTTTCATTGAGACCATTAAGACCCAAATGCTGAACAGAATCCCCAGGCCATTAAAAATATATTTTTGTATAATGTATTTTTTTATCAGGAGTGAATCGTTAGAACTTGACCCGGCCTACTCCTGTGGCCTTGTGCATTCGTAGTCGGCAGTGACCGTGGGCACCTCAGGCAGGGCTTTTGAAAGCTGGGAGGGCTAAATTAAAAGTTCAGCCGAGGACTTGAATGTTTCTCAACTCGGCTGCAAGGTTTTTCTGTGCCTGGATTTCCTCTTCCATCTCTAGTCTCAGGGGTGAAACTGCTGCCTCCTGGGATCTTACAGGTGCCCAGGGGCCTTCGGGAAGTCTGAGGAAGCCCAGGCGCACAGATAGATGCACTGCTGCTCAGAGCACCTGAGTTTCAACACTGGTTTGCAGGAGGGGGCCCATCTGTTTCAGGGCGTGGCAAAGAGCTTTTCAAAGGACTCCATGGACCTATGTCAGAGACTTGAGCCCCACCCCCACAGAGATGTGGCTGTGTCAGGGGGCGACAGAGTCACATGGGGTGGTGGGGAGGGCATGGCTTTCTAGAACATGGACCATGATACCTTTTGCATCTTTACAAGTGCAAAATTCAAGTCTTGTTTCAAGATGAAACAGAAGACTTTTCCTAAATGTCTTGGGGGCTCACCTCTCAACTTGGTTCCTCTCATCTCATCTCAAGCCCCCTCGTCTTTATTCATTCCACCCTGCTGTCAGGAGCACCTGGATGGGGAAGCAGAAGAGTGACCAGGTTAGATGGTGACATGGAGAAGTGGGGGGTGGGTGTGGGGCTTCTCTGCAGATTCCATTTCTAGTTTCGGGTGGCGGAGAGTGGAGCGAGGTTGGCACATCCTTTCTGGCACAAAGGCCCATCAACCATCAGGTACCTTCACTGCCTGTTGATAGACCTGGACGGTGGGAAGCGGGAGGGCAGTGGAAGCTGGGAGGGCCGGTCCCCCGTGGCAGTAAAGGAGGGGACCTAGAGTGTCCTGAATCTGATCATCCTAGAGATAGCTGTGACAGGGTGCCTCCTTCCCAGGACACTCTGGCTCCCTAAATGACTGAGCACAGCACCTGGCAGGAACCATCTGACCACACCCAGAGTTGCAGGTGCAGCTGCTCTTCGGCCCCCTGTGCTCATTTTCTCTGCTTTTGGGCTTTGCACACCCGTCTTCCTCTAGCTGAGGAGCACACTGGGAAGGCAAGGCGTGGGGGCAGCTCCTGCCTCTGCAGGAGAGGCCGGGGAGCCCCCAGCCCCTTGTTGGGGTCCCCGGTTTCCTCCTCCGCCCGCAGCGGGGCTGGGGAAGGGCGGCTCACACTCAGATTGATCCGCCAGCTGTGATTTGTCATTTCTCCACGGCAGGCGCTGTTTTCTCTTGCTTCAGGAGGCCCCTTCGACACCTGCTTTATTTTTCTTCCTGCGCTGACGTGACGGGAGACAGGTGTTAAACTACTTAATCACTTTAAAATTGTTTTAATTTTCTGTTTTTTATTGATCTCTCCAGCACCAATTAATCAGCTCACTGGACCAGGCAGTTAGTACATTAAAAATTGTCAGGGAGGCCGTGCATCTTGCAAAATGTCTAAAAAATATTCGACTAGCAAATTTCGTTTTTCCTTGGCATGCAACAGTCCCGGCCGGGCCCACGGATGCCCTGGCGAGTAGGGCCCCTGCCTCTGGGGCTGGCGTGAGGCTGTGGGGCGGGCATCCAGGCCGCAGGTGGAACTCCGACCTGTGGGACTTGCTATGGGGAACACGGAAGCAGGTGGCCCCTTTTTACTTCTCATTTGCCACCTATCCTTCCACTCTTGACCCCGCTGCCTCACACTGTCGGTCTCCTTTCCCCGGGGGTGTTGGGATGTTTGTGGTGCAGAGTATGTCCCCTGGCTCACAGTGTTCTGGCGCCAACGGGAGCAGGTCTCACGGGTCTCGCTGGGACGTCTGTACTTCTGACATGTCCTTCTGACAAAGCCAAGGCCATCTCCCCTGGGACAGGGGCCCGCTAAACTTAGAAAACCTTTGTCTGTTGGCAGGTAGGTGCCTGTGTATCACGTTGCCGCGTCTCTGGCACTCCCGTGACAGGCCTGAAGCCCTTCTGTGGAATGTTCTAGGCACTCACCATCCTCAGTCACCTGGTCCTGGGCTGCAAACCCTCGCCATTTGTCTTCCAATACCCCCTTGGAAAGAATGTCTTGCTCCCTTGACGGTCCTTTCTAAACTAGGGACGACAGCCTCACCAGGGACGTCAGCGGCCATGTCATTCCTTGGGGTAGACATTTGTTTTCCCAGATTTTCGATCCCTTTCTGAAGGCAAGCTGCAGGGTTTTGTTGTTGTTGCAGCAAGTTAAATGTCAAGTAGCTTATGAGGGGGCTTCAAAATGTTCATGGGGAAAAAAACAAACCATTATCTAGCCACCAACTTTTTTAAAAAATACGTCTTCATTACCAACTTTGACCCTGCAAGTAATTTAGTAATTTTTACTTATTATTTTTAAGTTTATCCCCAACAGTTTTAATGGCAATAGAATTCACTGGCTCCAAGCCCAGAAGGAAACACTGTAGGACTGTTTTCTATGCAGGGGCTGGGTAGCCTCCTTCCCAACCACACTGCCCTTTCCAAAGCGTCTCTTGCTCACCTCTCCCTTCTTCGCTCTGCTCCCAGCTGCCAACGCCACAGGGCGACTTGCTTTACCTCCTTCTCCCACCACAGGAGCCCTGGGGGGTGCGTTGCTTTAGCACTCGCCCGCTCACCCAAAGCTCAATGAGTGGTGCAAACCTACTCCCATAGAGACTACCACCTCAGCGCCCCATCAGGCAGTTCTCCGCGGCCTTGAGAGTGCCCAGGGCTCAGAAGCAACGAGAACAGCTGCAGGGTTTGAGTGCCCCTGGTGAGCCAGCGTTCACAGGCCCATCAGCATGGGGAGCTAGGCCCTCCCGGGGAGAAGCAGGTCTCAGGCAGCTTCACAACCCACCGGAGGGGCGGCCCACCTGGGCCTGCATTCTGGCCAGGGCTGCCTGCACTTATCTCCCTCCCCTACCCAGCCCCACCGGCTCTGTATTAATTGGTATATGATTGGGTTAGGACATATAATCTAGTATCGATTTTCTCTCTGGACGCCACAATCTTATTTGTTCACATCTGCCTGGTGTTTAATTGGTGCTTTGCTCAGGGGAAACAAGGTCTTATCGGCCCGGCAGGCTTCTTTTCCTGGGCCACGCAGGCACGCACACACCCTGCCTCTCCCTGGCCCTCCCAGCCAGAATTCCTTGGGGGATGGGGTTGGGGGTGGGAGTGGATTCCTGTCTGTACACTTGACCTGGGTGGGGGCTGTGTGCGTGTGTGTGCACGATGACTGGGGGAAAGCCCTGGCTTCGGTGCCAGGTAAAAAAACAAACCTCCCTGCCATCAATCTTGCCAATGCCGACGCACAGCGACCCTCTGTGAGTTTCCAAGACTGGAACTGTTGGCGGGAGTAGAAAGCCCGGTCTTTCTCCTGTGGAGCTGCTGGCTTTCGAACTGCCGACCATGTGAACCACAGCCCAACCTGTAACCACCGGACCACCAGGGTTCAAATCCCACTTCCTAGAGGATAACCTATTTACTTTTTCTGTGCCTCTTAGCTGAGATAAACAGTGACTGCCTACTTGTAGGATTCCAAGAGCGTCTTACTGGCCAGTGGCCCCGCTCGGCTCCCTGCTTAGCAACGGCACATCCATGCAGCCTGTGTAATTACTGACAGACTGCCCTGCGTGCATGCGGAAAGCAAAAGGGGGCCTCTGCTGCCGCCTTCGTCCCTGTCAAGAGGGGGAGGTGTGTTTCATGGGAATGTTTGACCCCAAGGTACCGCTATCACAAGTCAGCCACCTTTTCTGAGGCCTGAGTCTTGTCCTTCGTCCTCTCCTTGCCCCAGAGGACAGCCTGGCATTCCACCCAACGACCGCGGTCCCATGACGCCGGCGAAGGTCTGTTTCCTCTCCTCTGACTGTGGCCTGCTCTGCCCAGCATGTCACAAAGGCCAGAGGTAAACACTGATTTCCTATTGACACAGCATTAATTCTCTTGCTTGGACAGGTGAATGTGCTTTCGCTCACTTTACCAAGATAAATGATATTTGTTTGCTGGCTCAGAGATGCCTAATGAGGGGCTGAGGTAGTTATGGGGGTGGGGGGGAGGCTGTTGAGCTGGGGGAGGGAGGGGAGTCAGCCCCTGTCCAGCACCTCCGGCACCCTGTGCCCTTTCACAGGCCGGTGCCTTGCTCCTAAGGGAGCTCCCAGGAGGAAAGGATCACTGGTTACAAGGGGAGCCCTTCCCCACCACAAAAGACCTTCAGCAGCCCTGCACACAGCGCTCTTCCCAGCTCTGCAAACCAAACTGCCACTCTGTTTGCACCCAGGGTTGGTGTCAAACGTAGGATCGATCTTTGGCTCACGGCTCTGAAGAGTGAAACATATTTGAGCCAGAGTTCCTAAGGAGGGGCAGAGGAGCCAAATAAGCCGAGCATGCAGACAACCAAGAGTGCCCGAGACCCTAGAGGAGGAAGTCTGGGCCTGTCTGTGACACAGGACCAGGACTGAATCCAGGCAGCTTCTGTCCCATGACTGTGATTTCCGCACAGCATAAACAGGGCAAGAGCAACTAGCTACCTCAGAGCTTGCCTCCGGTCAGCAAAGAGCCCGGGCCAATCACGGGAGAGGCTGCAGGGGTGGGGCCGTTCCTGTCCAAGGCAAGCTGCCCCCGGAGTGCAGGGCAGACCAGTCTTCCACCCACCCACCCTCCCTGCTATCAGCCTCTGTCAGAGAGCAGGCCCCACGAGTGCTAGGCTCAGTCTCAGCAGGGTTTTGAGCAGAACTGAACATTAATACTCACTTCCAGGCAAGGAGGAGTCCTGAGGTGGTGCAAGGGTTAGGCGCTTGGCTGGGAATGAAGCTGGCAGTTGGACCCCACCCAGCAGCTCCAGGGAGAAAGGCCTGGCGATTGCCCTGTAAAGATTGCCATCTAGGAAACGCTATGAGCGGTGCCTCTGTCTCATGGGGTCATAGATGTCGAAATTGACTTGGTAATGCCTAACAACAACAGAATGGAAGGAATAGTTTAATCCAGGGCCCTGTTCTCCCTACTAACGGCCATCAACTCCATTCTGACTCACAGCGACCCGATAGGACGGGGTGGAAACCCCCCTGTGTGTTTCCAAGGCTATAATTCTTTATGGAGTGGAAGACCTCGCTTGCCTTTCTCCCAGGAGCAGCTGGTGGTTTGAACTGCTGATGTTGTGGTTGGCAGCTCAATGCATCACTACTCTGCTATGAGCCTGAAGCAGAAAGAGGAAAGGGTTAGAGTCTCCTCAGGTCACTGTGGCAAGGAAAGGACTGCTGGGGGATTTGAACCGAGGGCGGGTCCTTTGGTTCATCCTCCTTGCATGTGCAGACCAACCCAGGTTCTGACTCTGTGTGTGTGTGTGTGTGTGTGTGTGTAGGATTGTCCTTCATACGGTTTTCAACAGCTGTAGGTTGTCAGACTTTCTTCTGAGAATCCCAGTGTGGATTCGAATTGGCCACTTTTCTGTTAGTAGCTGAACACTGAATCATTTACATCGTGTAAGCAAATGACAGGGTTAAATTATTAGTATTGTTATATCGTCTACTGGGATTCTCTTGTAAGCCATATAAACCCAACTCAAATAAGACTTAAGAAAAAGAGGGTAGCTGATATCTCCAGCAGAGTCTAGAGGCGAGCCGCCGGACTGGGTCCACGACCGGGACGTCATCTTTCAAATCGACTTCCCTCCCACTTGGCATGTGTCCTGAGCCGGTGCCGCCTCATGGAGGCAAGATGGCTGCAGCAGCTCCAAGTGGTCAGAGCAACGCTGACAAGAACAACCGACTGTGTCGGCCTCTCACAGGCCAGAACGGAGCCTCGTGCTCAGCCTTCATCCTGTCCATCACATAATCGGGCGGTGGCATTCACTGAACTGTTTAGAACGGTGTCACTGGAGCCATGGTAGCAAATCCAGGTTAATGTATTGGCCTGCTAACTGTGAGGTTAGCAGTTCAAAACCACTAACTGCTCTGAGGGAGAAAGATGTCCACGTCGCCTGGGCAGTGAGGAAAGCATCAGAACTCAGTTTAGGTCACGTGAGCAACTGCAGTGGGGGCAGGAGCAGCCAACACTGCCAGATTTAAGCTTAGTCGGGCTTCTAAAACTTGCCCACGCCCAATGCTGAGCACATTTTCAAAATCATTACTCATCATCTAAAATATTTTTTAATTTACTTTGTTGATGCTGAGAACATACCAGGCAAACAAACTCACTACCAAGCGTAGATTCTGACTCATAGCGACCCGATAGGACAGGGTAGAACTGACCCCATGAGCTCCCAGACTGTCAGTCTTTACGGAGAT